TTTGTCGTTAGTTGAGAGTTTCTAGGTGCTACTTCATGTGGTTCATCTAATGTAGGTTCATTAATGACAGTTTCATTGTGGGGTATTTGATCATATATTTGTTGTTCTTGTAAGTTGTCAGACTACAATTTTTTCTTTGAGACTTTCTAGTTGCTACTTCATGTGGTTCATCTAATGCATGTTCATTAGTGACAGTTTCATTGTGGGGTGTTTGATCTTCTATTTGTTATTTCTGCAAGTTGTCAAACTATTTAACAACTATAGGAATAACAACTTGAGAAGAAATTTTGGGTAAAGGAACTTAAACCCTAATTTCTTGGATCTCCACTTTATGTGGTTCCAAACTCCCACCAACTTCACCATTTTCAATGAACTTGTCATTTCTAGCTTCAATATTTCTTATACTGTGGTTAGGATAATAAAATCTATTCCCTTTAGATTTTTTGGATAACCAATGAAGAAACCACCGATTGTTCTTAAGTTTAGTTTCTTTTCATGTGGATTATATAACCTTATTTTTGTTGGGCAACCCCAAACATGCAGGTGCCTTAAACTAAGTTTCTTATATGTCCACAGTTCAAAAGGAGTCTTTGGAGCTGCCTTACTAGGAATCCTATTTAACAAATATGCAGTGGTCTTTAAAACATGCATCCACAATGATAAGGGTAAAGAGAAATTACTCATCATACTCTTAACCATTTCCATTAGAGTACAATTTCGCCTTTCTGCAACACCATTTTGTTGTGGTGTTCCTGACATAGTATATTGAGCACATATGTCATTAGTTTGAAGGAATTTAGCAAATGGACCTGGACATTGTCCAGATTCATTCTAAGTTCCATATTATTCACCGCCTCTATCAGACTTGATCATTTTCACTTTTCTATCTAATTGTCTCTCAACCTTAGTTATATACACCTTTAAGGCATCTATAGCTTGAGATTTTTGATGCAATAAGTAGACATAACCATAATGTGAAAAATTATCAATAAATGTGATAAAATATTTCTCTCAACCAAAGGATGAAACATCAAAAGGTCTATAAATATTAGTGTGTATAATTTCAAGCAGCTGTATGCTTCTTGTGGCGGCTTTCTTAAGTGTGTGATTTGTATGTTTGCCTTTAATACAATTTACACAGATGCCAAGATCAGTAAAATATAATTCATTAAGGATTTCATTCTTTATTAATTTTTCAATTCTTTCTTTGGATATATAACCCAAATATTTATGCCACAAATAAGCTGAAATTTCATTCATAAAATCATGTTTGGTACCAATATTATGATACAAAGTCATCAAAGTCTTAGAGAAAGTTTAAGCTTATATAAGCCATCACAAAGAATATCAAATCCTATAAGATGATTGTGTTTAAAGAAACTGAAACAACTATTTCAAAATTTAAAGGAGTATCCACTAGAATCAAGTTTAGATAACGAAATCAAATTAAGAAAAATAGAAGGGACATAAAGTCTTTGAAAAAGGTATAAATGTTGTCTAGTATCTAAAGTCAACCGATAGGTTCCAATAGCTTCAACGGGCACTTTGACTCGGTTTCCTATGAAAACAAACTTTTTAATTGTGTTTATGATTTAGGTTGTAAGGAATCCTTGCATTGTATTAGAAACATGAGTGGTATAACCAGAATCAATCCACCAGGTATTATAAAGAACTTCAACCAAATTTGATTCAGAAGATACAGAAACGCAATGTTTACCTTTCTTTTCGAACCAGACTTTGGGTTTTTATCATTCATTTTGATAGTGTCCAGACTTTCTGTAAAAGTGGCATTTAATTCCTTTATATTCCTTTTTGTGAATTGACACATTAATCTTTAGTAGTCTTTGCTTACCCTTTCCATTCTTCTTTCCAGCTTTCTTTATAGATCTTCTTTGGTGACCCATGAGATTAATGGAGTGATTTGCTCCTTTCTTAAGCCTTGCTTCCTCTTGAATAAGAATACATTGTAGTTCATTTACATTCCACTTATCTTTCATAGTGTTGTAGTTCATGTGAAATGGACCATACTTAGGAGGCAAGGAGTTAATGATAAATTGCACAAGGAAATTTTTATTCACTTCCATTCCCAGGGCCTTAAGTCTTGCTGTTATGTTCTTCATTTCAACGACATACTCATGCATAGTACGAGAACCATCAATTTTTATGTTGGTTAAGGTACTCAATAGTGTCCCAGTAAGAGACCGATTAACAGAGTCAGACTGAGAACAATTCTCAACAAATTTTATAAATTCCTTACCACTTTCAATGTTAGAAAGTGTACACTTTATATTGTTTGCTACAGTCATTCGCATAAACATCAAACTTAAGTTGTTCGATTTTTCTCAAGCTTTATAGAAATATATTTGCTCAGCACTGTTATAATTAGTAACAACAGGGGTTTTCTCAGTCGTGAGTGCCAAATCAAGATCCAGAACACCAAGGTGAAATTGGACTCGCTCACGCCATTCAGAGAAATTAAGCCCATTGAAAGTTTGAACAGATGTAGCTTGCGAATGAAGAGAAATAAGAGTAGTTGCTGGAAATAAATAAAACATGCTCGTACATTAATGCTTCGAACATTAAACTTATATAGATATTCATGTAAAATCAGATTAAAATAATAATCATCAAAATAATAGTGTATTGAAATCTCCTTTGGGTGATGAAATAATACACGATAATAATCATAATTGATGCTTGACTTCAATTTAATATAATTGGTGATTGCTTATACTAAATTTAGATTAGACATGTCTATTATCTTTGGATATATAAACATATCTTAACTAAGTATATAATAGACTACAATTATATTTAAAGATTATAAAAGAAACTATCAACCTTTGGGCAATCTAGAAATATTTTATATTCAATGAATTTTAATATTTTCATAATGAAACGTTAAATTATTTCATAACAAGCATCACATACTCGTCAGTAACTGAATTTATTTAATTTGACGTATATTAAACTTATTAATTTGGTTACTTTGGGGACTAGTAAATTAAACATAACATAGACATCAAATAAATAATAATGTCAATCACATCAATTTACTATAGTATTAGTGATCTAATTCATGATTTAATTCACAACGGAAATTTAATACAATTAACAAAAATAAAATTATACAAAAAATCGTAAAGTTAGTAATCAAGGCTGTGATACCACATATGAGAAATTCATGTTTGAAGTTTATGACATACATTCCAAAAATATATAATAACAAACATCTTTTAAATTCACGATTTTTACATATTCATAATAAAGAAACACATAATAATATTTTATCTTAAAGAAATTTGATCTTGAAGAAATGGAGTTTCTCTTTC